AACACATATCCTGGAGGACTTGACATTCAACTTTAGCTTCAGGCAAAGTCTGCTTCAGACAGGTGCAGTGCCTGGTGCAAACTCCATAGATTCCTTGGATTTCAAAGGAAATAAACCTTCACAGACTCCTCTGTATCTGTGAAACAGCACAGTACATGGAAAGATAAACAAAAGTTGGTAAACATGTCCTCAAATGTCTTCAGCATTACACAGTTTTTTCAACCTAGCACTCCAAAGTTTCCAACACGGTCCTACAATTGTCCTTGGCTAAAGATTCATTGACTTCAAGTAAAGTTCTGACCATACATGGATCAGAGAATCATAGAATGGATTGGGTTGGAAAGGACCTTAAAGCTTATCTAGTTCTACCCCCTGCTATGGGCAGTAACACCTTCCACTAGATCAGGTTGCTCCAAGCCCTGTCCAACCAGTCTGGAACACTTTCAGAGATGGGGCAGCCACAGTTTCTCTGGGCAATCTGTGCCTTGGCCTCACCACCCTCACAGCCAAGAATTCCTTCCCAATATCCCATCTCTCCCTGCCCTCTGGCAGTGGAAAGCCATTTCCCCCTTGTCCTGTCCCTCCAGACCCTTGTCCAATGTTCCTCTCCAGCTCTCTTGAAGCCCCTTTAGGCAGTGGAAGGGGCTGTAAGGTCTCCCCAGAGCCTTCTCTTCTCCAGGCTGAACATGACCAGCTGTCCCAGCCTGGCTCCATAGCAGAGGTGTCCCAGCCCTCAGAGCATCTCTGTGGCCTCCTCTGGACTTCCAAGACATCCACATCCTTCTTGTCCTGAGGACCTCAGAGTTGGAGGCAGCACTGCAGGTGGGTCTCATGAGGCAGAGTAGAGGTGGAGAATCCCCTCCCTCACCTGCTGCCCACACCACATTAGACTGTATCTGGTGTAGTAAACTATTAAAATAGACAAGTCATATCTAGACACTCTTTGAGTGTTAATTAGCTCAGCTGAAATCATGTTTGATCCTATCCCTGCAATTTATTAGTGAGGACAATCAAGTTCCAGTGCCTGGACCTGTTCTCTGGCATATTTTAATTTATTAGTATCCATTTCATTTATCCTCACAGTTCCATGTGTGACACACCTGTCACAGATAAATTAAACAATAAAAGATGTTCAATTAAAAAAAATCTATAAAATATTTCCTTTCAAACCAGCCTGACATAGGTTCTAACCAGATTGACTGTTCTGCTCCAAGCCCAGAGGAAACTTAAAGGACCTCCAGATTATGTTACCTACAGTCATTAATGGACTTCAGCTCTCTGTTTGTGGACCCAAATGAAGCTGATTAAAGAAGATTTGGCTTTCAGAAATCCTGATCCAGCAATGAATGAAAATCAGGAATTTCTGGTCTCAAAATATTCATTCTCAAGCAATCATAGTAAAGATCTGAGAACATTGAATTTTTATTAGTAAGAGATTCATGTTCTTCATATTTATCTTTTGATTTTTAAGCCATTAGGGAATATTTGGATTGCATATCCAAACTTGTTTTAGCAGAGCAGCCAGAAAGTTATTATTTTTAAATGAAAACTGAGATTCTCACATAATCAAATTAATCCAGGAGTTGGGGTCATATTTATACACAAGGACTGTTAATTTTCCATGGTAAGTACAGCCAGGAATTGAATTGAAAATAGCTGATTAACCAATTACCATGAGCCTCCTCCAGCTCCTAAAGCACAGCCACGATGGGCAGGGGCGGAGAGGAGGAGGAAAAGGAATGAGCAGTGATGGGGTGAGGGGGGAACACCCTAAAGCAAATCAACTGCTGCTTCAAGGACTCCTTGGAGACTCCCTTTCCCACACTTCCCATCACACCATCATGGTGGAGGGTTTTCCCTCTGACTACATCAAATACTCCATTGATGCAGTAGCTGCATCACTGAGGGGCTGGGAGTTTTCAACAGAATACAGACATGGGGATATGCCTGACTGGGCTACATCCAAAGGAGTGTGGGCAGCATGTTGAAGGAGGTGATTCTGATGTGTGTGCCAGGAGGAGCTACACATGTTCCATGTACCAAGTTATGTCATAGATGTGGATTTGCTATGTTGCACAAGGATAGGACTGTTCCAATCATTAATATTGAACCAGATCCTTCTTCAGACAGAGGGCAATTATTTATATTCATCTCCTCTCCAAAGATCTCCTGTATATCAAAAATGCTTTCACAATGGTTTCCCAGTGGTCTGCAAAGGACAGGGAGGAAGTTGGGCTGTTGAAGAGAAAGATTGTAGGTAGTGCTGCTGAAAGATTAGGATTTACCTGCTAAATCCCTCCATTTCCAACCTAAACTGTCTAAGACCACCCACTCATCCTTGACCTTGAAGGTGGAGCTTCTCCTCATCATTTGGGGCGTTTAAAAAGCTGCTCAAGGGAAAAATCCATGGAAGCACAGCTTCAGCAGGGTCATGCTCTTGGAGGACTAAAGCGAGGCAGAGGAGGGAAAGGGCTGCCCTATTTCAGGCCTCTGAGGAGCTGACAGTGGGATTAGCTGTGTAATTTATGGCAGAATTTCATCCATAAATTCTTCATAGCTGGTGGTGAATTAGAAGCTCTGCTTTGTTTTCAGGTCTAGTTCAATGAGCAGATCTGTCAGTCCTATAAGCTCCTGCGTAACAAGAAAACCTCCTGTCAC